CCTTATACTTTGTCTTCTTTGTACATTTGATGTTTGTCAGTTGGCCTTAAATAAGAATTTTGGTCGCAGAGAACCAGGAAACAGGATTTGGATTACAACGGATTCTAAATAGTCAGCAAAAGTTTAATCTCTAGAAACTGAGGTTCTAGGACAGGGGTGGGCAACTCAGGCCCCCCAGCTGTGCTTTATCTACAAATCCCATCATGCCTCTGCAAGTCGTGCCTGTAACTATCAGACTTGCAATGCCTCGTGGGACTTGTAGTTCCACAACAGCGGGAGGGCTGGAGCTGCCCACCCTTGGTCTTGGATCTGAAACTAAAGCCTTTTTTTGTTTTCAATAGAGAAGGGAATGGTTACAACCCTTGCCAGGTTTTCCTTTCGTCGTTGGTGTCCCATTAGAGTGATCGCCCTTCACTTTCTATCCCATATACAAAACAGGAAGTGAAAAGGCTTGCCAGTGAAGGAAATCCCCTCTTAGATCACAAGACCCAGTGTGCTCACTGGAAGATTTCCCTTCTACTCATCTCCTGACACAGTGTCAATGGTCACCAGGAGAAATAGAGACGGTGAATGAGGGGACATAGACAGCAATATAAACCTGACAGAGGGTCTAACCCTTCCCTACTCCATCCAAGATATAAAAACTGCAGCTTTAGACCAGAGGTGGGTAACTCCAGCCCTCCCTACAAATCCAAACATACCCCTGCCTCAAGGGGCATGTAATTCCACAACAACTGGAGGCACACATTAAAGTGGAAGTAAACTTGGCACTTTCCCCGGATTTCCAGCCCCAGGACCTCTGGCCATCTTGATGGGTCGGCTGGGATTATGTATGCGGATGGAAGTTCCTTCATTCCGGCACTGAGTTGTGTAGAGAATGTGCACTGAGCTGGCCATGCAGAGAAGATTGGGAACAGACGGGTACGTTGGTTTTATTAGAGAAGACACCATATCATGCCTCTTCTACAAGATCCTGTCTGCTCAGGTTTCTGGTTCCACTTTCTGCCCCTACATGGGGGAATTAATGGCTTCCAAATGATCATCCCATAAACCAATTCCTTCCCACATGATTGTCATCGGTCAGTAAAAAGGCCCAACCCAGCACTCATGGCTATCACTGCCTGATTCCCAGAGTTGGTTCACCAAATGCCTTCACAGACACAGATATTACCTTGTTAAAAAGGAGTGGGGGACTAGAGATGAGCCCAGATCACCTGAGCTCGCCCGAGCCCACTCAAAATGCATCTAACACTACTACTCCTCCTCCCCCCCAGCCCAATCAATGGGGGCATTCCACGCCCCTCTGCAATGTATAGCTGGGTTCATATCAAGCCCAGGCTCATCACTAGTACATAGTCTGAGCAGAGCTGTGGGAGGGGCCTATCAGGCTCCACCCACTACAGGCTGCCTGCAGAAAAGTACAGGAGGGGGCAGAGACAAGACCAGTTACCCTGCACGGAAAGAGAGAGCAGCAGGGACCGGTCTTTATTACAGGAAGCAAAGTCTCACTCGGGATTAGGAAATACACAAATCACACTAAGATTCCAGTAACAATATACTCGTTTCTTGTGTTTACTTATCCCCGAGTTCAGCTTTAAACCTCCTGATCTCCGTGAATACAATGCCAGGATCCCATCATGTGCCCCAGACACACAGGCTGTGGTGAAATCATTCCTGTCTTGTGACCAGCTCTGCTCTATGTCCACATTCAGAGGACATGCAATGGCTGACAATACAAGATGCCTATACACAGCTGGGACCTCCTGCCTTCCAGGTACATACCATTACAGCTCCTACAACCTGCCATATTGATAACAGCAGCCAGTAAACACAGTGTCACCGCACTCCCTCCCCCCTCCTACCTGTTGCTGTGACATTACCTGTGGCCAGTGCAGCAGGAGGAGGAGGCCCAGCAGGCCGGTCGGGCCCATTGTTCAGCTGTCAGTCGGGACAGTCAGCGGTACCAACAGACGGGCCGGGGTTTCATGTACACAAAGCCGAAACAGGTCTCTGACACAGAATCGGCTTTCCGGAACACTCACTTCCTGTTATTCACAGTGGACGAGCTCAGCAAATAATGGGCCGGCTCCGGGAGCGCCGTGTGTACTTCCCTAAGCCCGGCGAGAAGTGCGCTGTGTGCGGAGGGAGCAAAGCCGTGATCTCTGCTAAGCTCTGCCTGGCAACAAGTGACACGGCCCGATACAAAGCCGAGACGGTGTGGGCATGCGCACCACTTCCCAGAAATCCCCGGCCTTGCGGCGTGCTGAGCATGCCGAGGAGGTCCGGGAGTTTACTTTGATAGCATAGTTAGTGATCTGTTGGCGGTGTTCTGTCAAGAACGCCGACCCAGTCGAATTTGCCGACCTGACTATCTGCGCTTGAGCACACACCGGGATGAACGCGAAAACAGCCATTTATTTAGAAAGTATTTATTTCTAATTGTTAATTGTGACCGTTCATATTATCCCATCCATGGCTGTAAGTGATGGATTGGCATTTTATGCACATTTACAGTATCGTAAGCAATTACATGATAATATAATTGCTTATGATATTAATTGTGAATGTGCATAAAATGCCATCCATCATTTACAGCCATGGATGGCATATTATGAACGGTCACAATAAACAATTAGAAATAAATACTTTGTAAATAAATGGCTGTTTTCTCGTTCATCCCGGTGTGTGCGCAAGCGCAGATGGTCAGGTCAGCAAATTCGACTGGGTCGGCATTCTCGACAGAAAACTGAAAGCCAAAGGTTCTATTCACAAAGCTTAAATCGGAACTACAGGCTCCAAAACTGTCATTCAAATATATTTCTATAAAGCCACAACTGTTATAAATCCCCTTTGTATGCTCCAAATGACTTCCAAACCAAGTTACCTTGTAAAAGTAGTAGTGTCATCATCACTGTTCTGAAGAGCAGCGCTGTGGGAGGAGCCCAGTGAGCTCCACCTACTTTAGGCTGTCTGCAAAAAGCTACTGGAGGGGACAGAGACAAGACCAGTCACCCTGCCCAAGGAGAGGGAGCAGCAGTAACTGGTCTTTATTACAGGAAGCTCCTGCATAGAGGCAAATTATCACACTGGATTCAAGCACAGATCTGGAGGAAATACACAAAGCATACCAAGATTCAAGAATACATATGGCAAGTTCAGCTTTAAGGCCCCGTTCACATTCAGCGATTTATCGCGCAGTAATTCCCGCGATATCGCGGCAATTTACCACGAGATATCGCTCTCCAATGCTTCTCAATGGGGCAAAGGGTCCTGCTGTCGCGGGTCGTGTGTCGCTACAGCAGGACCCTTTTTGGAGCGGATTTAGCCACGATTCAAGCTTGCTCAATGCAAGCATTTGCGCGATATTGCGCGACAAATCGCGCGATATCGCGCAAAATGCAAATCGCGCGACAAACGCGCGATTTGCGAACCGCTCGATGTGAACGGGGCCTAATGGTAGCCATACATCCTGTAGCTTTTTGCAGGAGGGGCGGAGGCAAACCAGTCACCGTGCACAAGGAGAGAGAGCAGCAGTGACTGGTCTTTCCTACAGGACACTGCACAGAGGCAAATCATCACTCTGCATTACTTCACAGATCTGCAAGAAATACACAAAGCTCACAAAGATTCAGGGCTAGTTCACACCAGCCACAGTGCATTCCGGCCCGATTGGTGCCGGAACGCAATGGATTAAATTCCAGCCGGCTCACTTTGTTTTGGGGCGGGAGGGGGAATGGAACTAAACCCAGAGATTGAACTGTTTTCCAGGGACATACAAGGCCTCTGTAGCTGTCACAGTTACTTATGTGCTTATGTCAGTTTTTAAAATGAAATTCCAATTCTCCAAATGAATCCTTCAAATGACCAGTGTGATAGCTGATCACACTGGTCACCATGGCTACTGCAAGTCTAAAGCTGGGTACGCATGGTCATATTTTTTTTCTACAGCCTCTGGGCTGAAAGAAAAAAATATCTCAGATTTCTCCATAAATGCTAGCAGCATGGATAAATGAATCTCCTGGTGTGTGCCCGTCGCTGTCAGAATACCTGAACAGTGGGGGGCGTGGCTTGCTCACGGACGTGAACGGTCGCATGGAGTGAGAGCTCCGGCTATCTACCCAGGAACGAGCCTCAGGAACACTCACCCGTACCCTAATTTTCACCCTCATGGGCAGAACGAGCAAGAAGGGAGCTAAGGCGAGAGCCCGGAATACTCCGCCGGCTCTGATCCCGTCCATAGGCGCCTTCTTTCGCCCTTCGGGCTCCCACGCGGCTTCACCACGACTAGGCCTCGAGACCGGGGACACGCCTGACTCAGAGGCATCCTCCCCTCTTCACCAGCAGCCTGTGGCGGACTCGGACTCCTCCATGACCGGGGATGACAGCGCGTCACTGCGGAACGACGACATGTTCCAGCGATATTTTGCTATGTTGCCCACGAAGTCGGAACTGGAGGGCATGTTCTCGCGCCTGGAGGCCTCTCACCGCCATGATATGACAGCGCTCCAGGAGGGCCTGGCAGGCTTTGGACGCAGGCTGGAGGTGGTGGAATCCGCGACCGCAACGGTGTCATCCTCGGTCCGGCAATTACAGGAGGAGGTAGGCAGACAGCGTGACACCCTGCTCAACCTGTCTCTCCGCATAGACGACCAGGAGGACCGTCATAGGCGCAACAACATTAGATTGCGGGGCATCCCTGAGGCAAAGGGCCTAGCAGACCTCAAAGCCACGGTCTTGGGCATTTTCAACATGCTCTTGGGTAACCCACCCACCCATCCCATAGAACTGGACAGAGTTCATAGGGTCCCCGGCTTCCGCACCCCCGCCCAGCAACTGCCTGGAGACGTCCTCTGCAGGGTGCATTTTTTCCAACAGAGGGAGGCCATCCTCACCAAGGCGCGGGATAGAGGCCCCATAGACTTTGACGGTGTGCAAATATTGTTGTTCCCTGACCTCTCCCGGAATACCCTGGCCAGGCGCAGGGCCCTCAAACCCCTCACGCAATTGCTCCAACAGCAGGCCATCCAGTACCGGTGGGGCTACCCCTTTCATCTGGTGGCACGGAAAGATGGCAGGTCATATGTCCTCAGATCCCCGACTGATCTACCGAAGTTCCTGCAAGCGCTGAACCTCCCGGCAGTCACGATGGATGCATGGCCGGACGCAGACCCACCTGCCTGGAGCTCCCCACCTGAGGAGTCATCATGGATCCCCGCTTTGCCACGCAGGATCCGTCGTGGGGTCCGACAGGAGGCCGCACCCTTATCACAGCCCGATGTGTGAGGTCGTGTGGTCAGCTAGCCCGAGTTCTGCCCTTTTGCACTTACATTGGGATGTTTTTTCCCCCACTTGAGGACCTAGCCCGCCATACTCCTGTTGGGCAGAGTCAGCTGACGTACTGCATTACCCCGGTCCCTTGTCGCCTGAGCGGTTTCCACAACGACACCCGAGTTACTCTACAGCCCCTTGCACTTGGACGGATGTGAGCCCACCTGTCTGTCTGAGCCACCAGATGACTGACCACCCAAGCTGAACACCTGCACCGGTAGGCCTGGATGACCACCACCCGCTATCCACCTCAATAGCAGACGGCAGCCCCCGAGTGCCTGTACCTTGCCTTTTTCCACTACTCGCAAGAACCTTGACTGCTGGCCGGCGCACCGGGGCTTCCCAATTGCTTTCGTGTTAGTTGGGGATGGTTGACGCCTATACTATACTGTCCAGGTACTCTGGGGCACGCATCCCCCCCGGG